CGATTGCGGCGTCTCTCCGCATGACTGTCAGCATCTTTTCGCCTGCAGTTCTCGGTCAGGCACCCAATTCACCTTCCTTAGACCTCTGGCTCAAGCCGATCGAGGTCTTGGCTCTTCTCCGTCTTCCAACTACAATCAGTTTGGACTCCAACGGGTACTCTTGATCCAACACACTGAAGTATTCCTTCAACGGCTAGAGTACTTGGTGTTCACTTAATTTAACCAACGTTCTGAGCTTTTATGTGGCCGACATCTTTGTCATTGTTAAAACAGCCGAAATCGAGTACCTCAAGGAATTACTGAACTCGGTCGACCAGAATATCCAGTTCATGATGAAGGGAATAACCGGTCCCCTTCCTTGACGGGTTTGGACGGAGATGTGCATGTAGACAACTCCAAACCACAGTAGCCACAGAAAAGCCACCGACGCGAGGCAGATACTACACCTTAACAGCAATCACCTGTCTCAGAACCGCGATGGTGTCCGCATTCTATTCAAAACTGTTGTAGCACGCCAGTAGACGAAGGAGTTGAACTACTATTCGGTCTATGCATCCCTACAGTTAAACCTGAATCGAACGCGGTCCAAAGCCCGGTCCCTTATTAGCCGGAATCAAGTAGAAGTGTATGTTGCTCCTTAAGTTAATGCCTCCACAAAAGAGAGACCGAAGATCAAGCGTCTGGTTTCGTTCACGCTGTTCCTTGATTTTAGCTGTCAGGCACCCAAATGCATAATCGATCCACACGCACAGACTTTCTCTGCATTCAACTTTTTAGCCACCTCTTAAGTTTCTTTCGAGCTATGTAAAACATACCGTTCTGTGGATTCTGCACTATTAACCAGGCTCAATAAAAATGTTTGCGTGTCAGGCATTCCTAAAGCAGGGCCTGGCTAGTAGACATAAATTTCGTAAACAGTTATTTGTAAGACTAGAGGAGATGATTTAGTAAGCGCCGATACAGACAAAAATTCCCCACTCACACAACCACGAAAAATTACACAAGAGCAATTACCGTACTTGTTACGGCTGTGATCATACCCGAGGGCTAAGGGCTGAGCAACATAAAGCAGCAATCTTGGATCACAGATGCAGAAATTTGCGCGAATAATAAACGTGAAGCTTATCGCTGAGAAGTTACAAATAAAAAAGAAACAAAGATGGAGGGAGGGAGGGTGGGAGATGGAACGTATGCATACATATATACAACAAACCTTAGTATCGCAATGCGCCATCGCGCGTTCGGTTATCTCTACAACCATAGCGAAGACGGTCTCCTGAAGACTGAAGCACAGATCAGCCTGAGTATACTCGCCTGCGCTCAGTAATTTTGGGGCGCGTTCTTTCAGGTAGGAGAGGATGCCCGCAAAGGAGACGTCCATACCCTTGACGGCGTAGGGCAGCTCGTAGAACTTGACTCCCTCGCGTGCTGCCTTCTCGATGTTGTAGCCGGGACTTGGGTCGTTTGAAAGGTTGATGACACGAGCAAACCTGTTCGGGAATAAATAAGGGAGCATATAGGTGTGGGTGTGTACAGGTGGGAGAGGGGGAGGGAGGACGGCCGTCCAGGGAAAAAAACTCTGATCGGTCTGACAGTTAGCAAGAAGAAGGCTGCCTGGCAAGCTTTCTGTTTTCTATTTTTGCCCAAACGTATTTACCATATAGAACGACAGTTAGACCGTTGATTTCGACTATGTCCACCAAGAGTTTCAACAGGTTGAAGCGACGCAGTGACTTCCGCGTGATGTACAGCGAAGGCAGACTCGCGGAGAATCTACCCCACTCTCTCTGACTACTCCCACACCGGGACCCGGTTGTCAAGGCAAAGTCAAGAAGGCCGGAGATTAGGGCTGGCGCGACCAGCACTCAACACGCGTACCAAACAGCACATCTCACTACGTAGGCTCCCGACTGGGAGCGCCATAAAGGCCACATTAAGAAGGAGCCATTGCAGTCTGGCTCTCAGCCCGCAGACAGCCACACAGCACAACAAGACACACACTGGACTGACTGCGGTGTCCAAGTTATCCCGT